TTGATGCACACAGTTTTCATTTTTAACACAAATACGTTTCAATATACACATAACAATACAATTTACAATGACAGTTATTACAAATAGTTATTACAAACAATGATTTATAAACAAAAGTTTCACAAGCTTACAAGCAATATAAAGTATTCTTTCTAGTCTGAAACTTACTTAATATCTTATCGAGGGTTCACGATGAGCTATCCCTGTAGTCTTCACTGTTTATCCGCCTATTAGAGATTGAGTTTCCACCGATGACGTTAGGTAATGTTTTCGTAAAAGTATTAATGTCCGATGTGAATCCACTAAAGTTAAATGGTTTGTAATGTTCGAACATTATAAATATTCCTGGTCAAATATCTGAACTTCCCTATTGATAAGCGTTATAACAATCACAGTTATAGCTTCCGAAGTTTATAGCACATTAATAATAGATACTCTTTTTGGCGCGTCACGTTGGTTATATTTATAGGCGTGTGGATTATAACAGTTAAATGACCTATTGGGTTAAGTACGTAGAATTCTTAACGAATCTGATGACCGTGCGGGACGTCTCAATGACTGCAAGGTTAAACCTGTTTCACAACACGTTCTACCCATTAAATACCCCTAGTATAAAAGGCATTTTAAACCGAATGGTTTGATCAAAAATGATAAACAGATCGACATATCTAGTAAGAGACACCAGATCTGGCGACGCTTTCAAAACCTGGGTATCGGGGACAAGTATCAAAACTCAACATGGTGACAGTAACGGTAATATAAGCGTATATAGACAGATAAAGCCATTTATACACAAAATCTTAACATATAAACACTGGTGTATGAGATGGGGCTCTGGAGAATGATAGATCCATTCCCCAAATGCCTTTCCATTTGCAGTAAGTAGCACTATCTACACCCACTTCTGCTTTACACATATGGTGACGTCATCCAGACGTCCTATTCCTAATTTGATTTTTGCATTGTTTAATGAAGTTTTAAAAACTTCCCATGCACGCACACACGTTATTCTTTTGATTTTATAGATGTCGTTAACACTCTCTTTCTTTACGTGACTAGAGAGCACTAACTGGATTGTGTAATAATATTAATGTCAGTTTGTCGCTGAAGAATGGCCCGGCATGGCCAGGTGGTTACGGTGCTCGACTCGCAAATCTGAGGGTCGCGGGTTCGAATCCCCGTCACACCAAACATGCTCGCCCTTTCAGCCGTGGGGGCGTTATAATGTGACGGTCAATCCCACTATTCGTTGGTAAAAGAGTAGCCCAAGAGTTGGCGGTGGGTGGCGATAACTAGCTGTCTTCCCTCTAGTCTTACACTGCTAAATTAGGGACGGCTAGCGCATTATAGCCCTCGTGTAGCTTTGCGCGAAATTCAAAACAAACAATCCCTGAAGAAGAAAGGTTCACCTTTCGAAAGCGCGCGGGTTGTAGGGATTTTATTCATTTCCATCAAGACTTCTTGAACCTGCGTGTTTTTCTAACATCATGAATGTAAGACTAAAAACTACATTTCTTTACATCTATGAACAGCACCAATTTGGGTTGGATACATTAAAAACCACTCTGTCGTCAACAATATTAACGTAATTAACAACAAAACCATTTCTTTAATTCTCTAAACAGCGCCATTTTGGAAACATTAAGAACCACTCTGCCGTCAACAGAAGTAATGTAATTAACAACACAACCCATTTCTTTACCTCCCTAAATAACGCCAGTTTGGATAAATTAAAACCCATTTCAAAATCAGTAGAATTAATGTCATTAAGAACAAAACTTCAATTATTTGCTTGTTTTCAAACTCCAGTATTTTAGCTATCCATTAGGAAGTCGCTTTTACCCACTTAGTAAAAGCTACTTCCTCGTGGATATCTGAAACACAAAGTTTAGTTTACGCGTATTTCAGGCATCAGTAGTCCTCTTCAACTTGAGTTTATAAGAATGCTGTGAATCCATGATATTAACTTTATTGTAATGTATAGATGGCGGTTTTATATTATTTGTTTTTTGTTTTGTTTGTTTTTCTATTACAAATTTTTTTTTCGTGTTTGTCATTGTAGTTTTCGGGTTGTACTCCAGCTTCTAAAAAATCAATTCTAACTACTCAAATAGTGGATTAAACCTATTCAATTTGTACTATTTGTAAATATTGTAGCATAGTTAAACCTCTCTTATCTAGTCCGTGCGTGTCTATCAGAAGGTATAATTGAGTTCAGTGTCTTTAGTTAGTTGTTTGTTTTCGCGCGAAACTACATACACAAGAGCTATCTGCACAAATGAGTTCGTAATTGTAAAGTGATAGACTAGAGGAAAGGCAGCTAACTAGTCGACAGCACCCACCACTAAGTCTTGTCTGATAAATAGTTGGATTTCACTGTCACTCTTTTAGCATACCTACGACCCTAACGTTTGGAGTGCGTTTTTACAGCAACAGAGCGCCAGCCACTATCCTCTGATTCACATTCTAGGCACGCTAACCAATATGCCACACCTGACTTGTCTTTAGAGTTCCCTAACAAAAAATTATACTTCAATGTTAGTTTCATAGTGCGAAGTACTGTCTCAAAAACACATGTATACAAATTGTTTTTCGTAGTGGTTACCACCTACGTAGCACTCAGTTTTGTTTTTTTTTCTTTAAAGTGATAGTAGTTATTTTTGGTTTATTTTTCTTTTGAAATAAAGTTTGACAATTAAAACAAAAACTATAAAAGTCGACCTTAGAATGAAGTATCTTGTACGGTTTTTGCGTTTAATTTTGTGTTTCATAATTTGTCATTCTAATATCAGTGAATGTCTCGTTAAATAACGAAACGTTGTACATAATTAGAACATTCTTGAAGGTTAGCTACATTCTTCATGTAGGGTGATAGGAAGGTTAAGAACTAGTACAGAAACTTGGATATTGGCCTTTTTGGAAACGTTTGCTTTAATTCTCTTGAATACTGCTAAAAATGTTATTGTAACATATATTGCTTTTTATAACTGCAGGTTGGTCCAACGTTTCTCCCAGGAGGTGGTTTATATGGACCTTTTCCACCTCACTTCAGGAATGCTACTCATCACCCCTTCACAGGACTTGTTGGACATCCAAGTAGGTTTACTTATCTGTGTATATACCGATAAGTTTTAAACTTCTATGCAAGATTAAATAACTTACCAGATGTTTTTTTTGTACTCGTTTTTCACCAGTGCTGTAAATAAATGTTTTCAATGATCCATTCATATAACTCTCGTAATCTTGAGTTATCAGCAACAAGTCCATGTTATTGTGAAATATCTAAAAATCACCCATTCTCAAATCTCGTCTATTGTTAACTAGCAGAGATCAGCAAAATAGTTTGCGGTCAAATTAGTATCTTTAACCAACTTTTAGTTCTAAATAAGTATTATTCAGGTCTAGCAGAGACCTGCAAAATAGTTACGGTTAAATTAATGTCTTTATTGCAACAATACTTCTATAAATACAGGATTTGTGGATTAATACAAAAGGATTATAATCGTAGACACCGAAACTGGCAAGTCAACTTGTTTTAGGCCTAACATTAGTTAAACTTTTATTAAGTACAGCCTATATTTGATAGAGAGATAAATTAACACTGTAACTTGTGTACGTCTTTTGCTTTAGTTTAGTGAGGGCTAAACTTTACCGTACTTAATACTCTCAATAAATATACTATTCTACGACCTAACGTTAAACCTTTTTTAAAATTCTGATAAGCTTTTAATATGTTATTGTGCAAAATATTTATTACTGTACATTTACATCCGACTTTTTGTTTCTATCTGTTGAAATGTTTGTTTTATTTAGTTAAGCACAAAGCTACACAGTGGGCTATCTGTGCTCTGCCCACTACGAGTATCGAAACCAGGTTTCTAGCATTGTAAGTCCGCAGACATGCCCCTGGGGGGGGGGCTGTTGAAATGTAGTGCGGGAACGTGCGCTTGTAGATAGTAAGATATTCGTGCATTTTCAGGACAGACAAAAACTGAATATAGTTGTAATAGATAGTACGTGTAGTGCCACAGTAACAGCGTTTTTCTTATTGACAAATTCTGTATTCTTTATTTGTTTGTTGTGGTTTAACGAAAAGCTACATAATGGGCTAATGCGCTCTGGCTACCATGAGGAATCGAACCCCTGATTTGAGCATTGTACGTCAAGTTTTGTTACGAAATAATAAACAGACCAGTGGTGCAACAGGGATTTATTCACAACTTGAAGTGTGTACATTTAGTGTGATTAAAGTTATGTAGTTTCATGTAGTAATGTTACTTATTTGTATTTGGGTCTGACCCCTCACCTTCTGTAGAAAAAAAAAAATTACAAAGTTGTCATTGACATTAAGAATGTGACGTCGCAGACATTAAACCTGAGTACGCAGATTACATATCTTTATGGGCTTACTATTATAGGGACTGAAAGGTGTGAACAAACAGACACAAACTTAGCTTTATATATTAGATATTTTTGTGCGCCAGCAATACCAAGCGTTGGATGCACGTATACCCGATTCGATTTTATCAGGATTTCTACCAGCCTACCCTCAAATTGAAATTCTTTTAGGCATAATTAGAATAAATTAATCTACGAGACCTTGGGCGTGGTCACATACGTCAATCGAAATGGTTTAATCTCCTGAGTCTAAAAACTGTAATTAGATATCAAATCGGTCAAGAGATGATGGAGCTATGAGCTAAAAGTTTGTACTTGAAAAAAAAAAAAAAAAAGAAAGAAACAACAACTCAGAGCCATTCTATGAGCCGTTATGCCGCGGCTATAAATCGGCCTCCCAGTGGAACAGCGGAAAGTTTACAGGCTCTAAAAATGGGTTTCGATACCCGTGGTGGGCACAGCACAG